TGGAAATTCTGGTCACGCACCAGATGACATGCACGATTAGATGTGTCAAATAAAGATTGTCGAGCATTTCGACTCTTCTCGAGTTGTACAAAAGTTCAATTCAACTGGAGAAGTTAACTATATTTAATTTAGATCCTTCAGTGAAAAAATCTATAGAAACATGGTATGCCTTTTTGGACACTTGATCGATCAATCAACAATGCAATAGTATAATCCTGGTTGCATACAAGACTACCCAACTTCATCAACACGAAAAATTTCTGCCATCACAGTTATTTCGCAAAGTACAGTTCACAAAATTATGTCCAAAGAATTCAGATTGAAGACATATAATATTCAGATACTGCAGAAAATCAAACCAGCTGTTTCTGAGAAGAGGTTGAAGTTCTGCAGGAAAATCCGTGTATTGAGGAGAACTAGTCAAATCCTGTTTACTACGATGAAGCCTGATGAAGAGCATTATCACATTGATGGCAGAGTGAATGAACATAATTGCCGCATTTGGGAATTGGAAAATCCAAGAAGCTTACTCAATATACGGCAATTCAGCATTTCAGGATATCATCTTAATATGCAGTAGATGATTCAGAGAGTTTTCCAGATAAACATAACTTGTGAAACATCTTCAGAAAAGAAAGAGGTCAGTATTTCTGATGGTGCAGAGATATACAGGGTGATTAAATGATATGAAAAAGTTGCCTCATAACTGGATAATGGCTTGTTTGTTACCGGTAGAACCAGAATTTCAAGTGAAGAGGTGAACTCTTCTTGACGAACTTGGTAAAAATCAAACTATAGTAGTCCAAACCGCACAACGATGACTTGAATGGTTCCAGAGATATGAGCATTTGGAATGGGTCAGAATAAAGCTGGTCACCCGGTATATCCGCGCACCTACCACCAAGTTCAGCAGTGAATTGAGAGTTAGATATCATCTGAAGAGTTGGGCTGAAAACGCCAGAAAACGATATTTCGCCACTGCATGCACCGTGTATTGGGGGGGTGGCAAAAGAAACAACAATAACAGTTCGTTCGTTCAAGTTTGAACCCCTTGATTGGGTTGAAGTATTTAAGAAGAATATACTCAGACAAATTATAAAAATACGAAAATGGATCTATATATGAAGAGATTCATAAATAATTCGCATTCTCTATGTGACGAAAATATAAATTTTGTCTCGGTCTATTCAACAAAAAACAGCTTATTTTCTGGCTATATGTCACGACGAACATTGAAATATATTTATTGAACACACACGATGAGAATTTGAAAACCATATCTTCTGAAGTTGAGAATCTGTATTCTCCTTCAGATAAAAATATAAATGCATATATTATCATTCTGAATATTCAACAGAAAACAACTACTATTTGCCAAGGAGAGCTTGGAAAATGTAAATTCTTTGGAATTGAGAATTGACATTCTCTCTCAAATCGGATAATCAATATGATGTATTATCGAAATGAAAATTGAAATCTATTGGAGAAGTACACTTGCGTGATGATCTCGAAATTTACAAAAATAAATCATTCGTATCAGTGATGGGAATTATTTCTCTCATAGACAGATTGAATGACTTCATTTCAATGAACTCATTTTGGATTTCAAATCCTCCTCGGTAACCCAAAGTCCAGTTATATTTGCAGTCATTCTGCATGATATACAAAATATTCATCTCTTTATAATATAATTGAAACTATAACGAACTGAACCTGAGAATCATCTATTGGCATTCGATCCCTGTCATCTGGTTGTTTTCGTTCTTGAATCTATGACAAATTTATATTCATTATGAAGGACGTGGAAAGAAATTCTGAAATGAGAGATCTGCGATTGAGGTTCTATAAAAATAACAAGTTTATATCGTTCAAGTTTAAATTCCTTGGGTGGAAGGATTGCAGAAGAATATTCTCAGATAATTTATTCTTATAGAAAAATAGATATATCTATAGAGAGAAGCATTGACAATTCGCATTCTCTAGGTGATGAAAATATCAGAATTTTCTTCCGGTCTATTCAACAGAAAACAACTATCTTCCTTTTCTATATGTCACGACGAATATCGAATTATATCTATCGAACACACACGACAGGAATTTTAAAGAAAAATCTTCTGATGTTCAGAATGTATAATCTCCTTCAGATGAAAATATGTAAGCACGTAATATCATCCTGGATATTTAACAAGAAACAACTACTTTCCTAGCTATTTTTCACGTCGAACAGCGAATTGAATCTGTTGAACATCCAAAAGGGGAGCATGAAATCTGAAAATACTATGAAATTGGGAATTGACATTCTCTCTCAAACCGGATGAATAATATAATGTATTTTGACATAAAAATATAGCTTACCTATATTTTCAGTATCGGAATGAGAATTGAAATGTAAAGGAGAAGTACCCGTCTTCAAGAATTATCTGAGCAAACAAATCACTCGCAGATCACAATCACGATCTACCTCCCCTCAAATCGAATATGTAATGAACGAACAATACAGATTGATCTGAGCAATCCGATGTGAATACTGTACGCGACTTTTAATTGATGTTGATCCTTCAAATTTGTAATTGTTGTTACCTTCTGCGAACTTGTATTTTCCCAAATTGAATTTGTTCGTGCATAGTTTTGTTAATTATTATAGTTATTAGTTACATCAAAGCTGTATTTGAAGTCCAAGAGCCAGCTGCGAATTTTGACAGTCATTTAATAACAAAATTATAGATGTCTCAAAGGCATGCAGAAATATTGTGTTTTCATTTTACTCGATTAATTGGGATTTTTGATTCTCGTTTCTATAAAATGAAAATATGAGTATTATTTCAATATATCTGTAGTAGGAGATATCAAATGGTTTGCCCCAAAATGTCACTGTGTTGAGCAAATTTTCCTATCAGTTAGGCTAACAGAAAAATCAAATAGCTTGTCAGTAGCACTTTGTTCGGAAAAATGTTTGGAGACAACAAATATTGATATATTGAAAAATATCGAATTTCCACTCATCTTTGGACGTTTCGGAAACAAATCTGCTCCCGTTCTCAACATGAAATGGAGAAATATTTTTCCTCTAAATTTGTGTTCATATCGTTTGACACTTCTTAGTGACATATTGATGTTCGGCATAGGAATGAGTGATGATGTTGATATACAAAAGAGGGACAAGATATTATCGTCAATTGATCTTGAATCTTTCATTTTCATGTTCAGTTTCCAGTCTTGAATATCATGTTCTATCTATGTATATCAAACGAACAGGAACCAATATGCTAATCTTCGTTAAGAAGAATGCGAGCGGATTTCTTGATTTTTCTTCATTGGTTGTGGTCATCCGGAGATAAGTAGAAATTCGATATTTTTTCAATATATCTTCATCTCTCCTCTTATTCAAACATTTTCCCGATCAAAGTGTCACTGACAAGCTATCGAATTTTTCTTTTGGGCTCACTGGTAGAAAAATTTTCTGAACGCAGTGACATTTTCTACACTATATTGAAATATACTCATATTTTCATTCCATAGGAGCGAGGAGAAGATCCCGAATAATCAAGTAGAATGAAGGTATCACCTCCTCGATCGATTAACCTACATTCAGTATTTAACATTGTATTTTGTCGAAAGGCACTTGTGTTAATCACTATTCTGAGCAAAATTATTCAAAAATAGCAATTTCCTGTTTGCACCAATTTCCGCGTTTTTACAACGAAGTTTGAGTTGAGCCATCAGATGTCGATTGAATAGTTCAAAAAACTCTCTCAATCCCCTCAATCTCATTAAAATCCAAGACTCCAAGACAAATCGATGTATTTGTTGCCATCATCATCATCCTCAGCCAATTTAAGTGGATAGTGGTCTCTTCACGATTATCCAAACGTGCTGCTATTCAAACAAAATATAATATTCAAGGAACCAGTGTAAAACTCATGTAGTAATGTAGTTCTCGCTCTACAAGTATTTAGATCCACATGTTGAGTTTTTCAATGGTCCATCGTGTATTATCTTTCAAGAGGGGTGAAATATTCTCACAAAAACATTGACGCTCTGCCACTCACTTGGCACAATATGAAATGCGGCACGTTTGTATATTCGCAAAAGACGCACTATCTCCTTTCATTTGCTTCTTGTTTCAACTCGTTATCACATTAACCCAGATTGAGGGTTGGCGCAAGTGGGATTTCGAGATCTCTTTTTCAATTGGTATCGGATGGCATAATTCTGATCTCGTTATCAAATCGTGAAATTGAGTGCGAATCACCGCATAGGAAAGTGTCAGTTTTTCAATCATTCTCCTGAGGATAGTGATTGGCACAGGTGCCATTCCATGAAATTCAAGTTTTTCAAAAGCTTTCATGAAATTTTTTTTATGTTCTGGTTCCCACGAAAACGGATATCCTGTAATATTCAGAGAACATCTTGAGAACCAGGGGAAATGAGGTAGGAATTGATGTTCTTCTCAAATTCCTGGAGGTTATAATATGCCTCGAGGAACATCTCCCTTGGCAATGTGTTCCAGAGCCTTGCTGTTCTTTGGATGAACGAATCTTTGGAAAAATATTTTCTGTAGGTCTCCAAAGTGACCACGAAGGGGTGCGAAGCCTTAACTCGACGGGATAATCTCGCGGGGACAGTCAAGGTAGGAACAATTGTTGATATTCCAGAAGAGCATCGTCCATCAAAATATCTATAAAATTGAGCCAGATCGCCAACGTTTCTACGGTGTTCCAGAGAAGTGAGTGAGTTTGTGAGCGAGGCATCACCCACGTGACATAATTGTGTTATCAGATAACGGTTGAAATTTGCAGCCGGCTCTCCTACTATAGAGGAACGTGTTCTTTCTCAATTCGATTGATGTATTCCGAAATTCGAATTGTTCGATCATCGAGTTGAATAAATGACAATTCGGAGATGGGTATGTATATATGATTTAATTAGCCGAACAATATTATGCCGTGGACTCCCTTCATTCAATCATCATTAGAGGTATCCCCTCATCCAATCTCACTTCATCCTTCAGCTTCTTCTTCTGCCTCTCCTCCTTCCTCGCCTCCTTCTTCATTGCCCTCTTCATCACCCCCTTCTGCTCCTTCACCTTCTTTTCCTTCTTCGCCACCTTCCTTCTTATCGCCCTTGTCTCCCTCTTTCTTGTCTCCTTCTTCACCCTTCTTCTCGTCTTCTCCACCTTCTGCACCTTTCATAAGAGCTGCATTATGAACAGTCACGGCTATAGCGCATCCCAATATAATGAGAATTATTCCTAGGGGATGTATTTGGATTCCTTTGTCTAATAGTTTCCTACAAACCATATTGCACAGTAGATTTTGATAGATTTTCAAGATAGTTTTGTGAGACTTACTGGCAAGTCGAATGTCATGTCAGATCGTATGTCATGTTTTCAACTATCAAATTGGTGGATACAGTGATATAGGGTATGTCCCGTAAATCAACTTGATAACGGTTAGAAGATTTCCGTTCCGTAAATATGACATTTTCCATTAGTTTCTGAAAAATAGTTATTCACAGAACTCGATTACTGATGAAATGGTAGATTTACTGTCACCAAAACGACCATTGAGTTGGTTGACGTTGGCGTGTTAAAGTTTTTAGTTTGATTTTCCGATCAACAAAGTTCCGACGGATTCGTTTACTGATTTGACGACTTTTTTCATTCCAGGACACTACATCCTTCGCTTGTGGTTGATGTACACCAGAATAAGGGACTTCTGGGTGCAATAATTGAAAATCGAATAATATACTAGCAAAGCATGTGTTACACTTCGTTTTATTCCTAACGAAAATCCTACATATAGCAAATCTATCTAACATTGTTTACGTACGCAACCTTGTATTATTCTGTTCCTCCGCTCATCAATTCGTGAAATTAGGTAGATAGAGATACCGTGGCCGTGTTATCGTTGGTCTGTGGCCTGAGATTTGGTTTCTTTGTATATGTACAGGGTGTCCGGGAACATGTGGGAAATCTCCCGGATATGAAGAAAACACGTGAAAAGAATACTATAAGTTCATATAAACTTCTTTTGTATCGGCTTCCTCTTCGGAGATATGGGCTCCCAAAGAGCTCCCATGGAATTAAGTTTTTGACACATAATTCTTGAACCAACAGGTATATTTCAATTTTTTTTAATATGATGTATACTAGGTAAGACTCTTCAAATTACTATCCAAGAAAGTGTTGCGAATTACTCACAGCTCCAGGGACGGACTAGCTGTGACACTCATGGGCCCATTTTTTTTACGCCCTGTATGATAAGAACTCTGGACAACGTTTTTTACATACCTCTAACTATTGACTAAAAATTGAGTACTCTTCATTCATGTCGCTAATCATAACCGTTTTCGGAAAAACGTCATTTTATTTATATCATGTATTTAGCGTAATTTTCCACGGTAACCAACATAGTTTCAATAAAAAGTTGAACTTTAACTGCTTAGTTCAAAACTTCGTAACAGGGTTCAACATGGGCTCCATGAAGTCTGATACACTCGCGAGCACGACGAATTGAGGACTGCTGTACCCGCCACAATAACCCAGCATTGTTCCTTATCACATCACAATGAAACGTGATTCTCCGTAGAAGTTCCTCCCTAGTATCGACCGGAGTGGAATACACCAAGGTTTTGAGGTGTCCCCACAGGTAAAAATCTAATGGCGTTAGGTCGGGAGATCTAGGAGGCCAGGCAATAGGTCCTCCTCTACCTATCCAACGGTTTGGATAGATGTTATTCAGGTGCTCCCGCACAGCAACGCTGAAATGAGGTGGTGCCCCATCATGCATAAAGTACATGTTTCGGCGGGTTTCAAGTGGTAAGTGCTCGACTAAATCATTAAAAGCGTTCTGGAGGAACTCCAAATAAAGTATTCCATTCAATCGTGCCGGCAATACGAATGGTCCAATCAAAAAATTGCCAACGATTCCTGCCCAGACATTAATTGATTGGAACTGATGTTGGCGATGCGAAACAATAGTGGCATGAGGATTTTCATCAGCCCATACATATGGGTGTTATGTAAATTCATGATACCATTTTTGGTAAAACCTGCTTCATCCGTGAAGAGAATAGTGCTCATGAAGTTTACATTATTTCGTTGCTGATCCAATAGCCAGTTTGCAAAATGCATTCTACGGGGAAAATCTTCAGGAATCAGTTCATGCACTTTTTGCAAATGATATGGGTATAACAGTTGTTCTTGAAGAACTTCATGTACTATTGTTTTCGACGCATTAAACTGCGCTGATAATTTTCGAGTGCTCGTTGAAGGAGTATCATATACAGCATTTAAAATATTTTCCTCTAATTGCGGCGTACGTACTGTTCTTCCCTGACCAGTATTATTACTTCTTTTTCCAAAATTTCCTAAAATTATGAAAGAAGTAAATAACATTACCTTATTATACCTTATTAAGAAGAATCGCCCACCATTCTCCCTTAGACGTTGGTCAACTCGTTGAAATGTCTTCTGATCTGGAAGAGTGCGATTAGGAAATCTGTCGTGATATAACCTTCTGGCTTCAAAGCATTGGAAGATGCAAGACCATACATCAGATGCATATCTGCATACTCAATAAACGTGTATTCCATATTTCGAATTATTTCACAATTAATTTCACAACGAAATTCAAAAATCAAATATCAAAGTAATAAGGAATCAATGTATCAGTAATGTGAAAGTTGACAAGTTCTAAAATGAAGGATATTTATTTATTTCTAACCTAGCAACGTTTGCAAAGGTAACTCGAAAAAAAAGTATCTTTTATCGAAATACGCTAAATACATGATATAAATAAAATGACGTTTTTCCGAAAACGGTTATGATTAGCGACATGAATGAAGAGTACTTAATTTTTAGTCAATAGTTAGAGGTATGTAAAAAACGTTGTCCAGAGTTCTTATCATACAGGGCGTAAAAAAAATGGGCCCATGAGTGTCACAGCTAGTCCGTCCCTGGAGCTGTGAGTAATTCGCAACACTTTCTTGGATAGTAATTTGAAGAGTCTTACCTAGTATACATCATATTAAAAAAAAATTGAAATATACCTGTTGGTTCAAGAATTATGTGTCAAAAACTTAATTCCATGGGAGCTCTTTGGGAGCCCATATCTCCGAAGAGGAGGCCGATACAAAAGAAGTTTATATGAACTTATAGTATTCTTTTCAAGTGTTTTCTTCATATCCGGGAGATTTCCCACATGTTCCCGGACACCCTGTATAGTTTACTTGTAGTAGTAATTTTTCAATAGTGTTGGGATTATTTGACCGAAACTCTCAATTTTCTGGGTACCTTTGTTGGTTATGGTACCAGACCTCATTTCCGAGGGATTTGTGGCTGAAGAACACGAGGCCGACGTCACTCAGCTTCATCAAACCCGCCCATCATCAGAGGTATGAGGTATTTTCTGATCTTTTACAGTGCTATACATGTTCTCTTTAGGGTTTTTCATCCCATTCCCTGGGTACCACCTCTACTAAGAGGCCATAGAGCTGTAGGGGCTCTAATCTGTGGCTGATCAGATCCACAGCCTTCTGTACCTCGCACCCTCTGAGGATTTATCCTGTAGCACCCCTGCACACCTTCACACCTATGTTCTGCACATTTCTACATCTACGTTCTGCACATCTTCACATCTACGTACTGCACATCTTCACATCTACGATCTGCACATCTTTACACCTACGTTCTTCACCCTGGACATCTGTATGCCGCACCCTGGACACAACTACCCTGCCTATTTAAAACTGTGCACCTGTAGTTCTGCTTCCTGCTGGTGAGTTCGTTCCATTTTTTTTCTGTACTGGATAACTGCCACCAAGTATTACTACCTATCAGCCTAGTAAAATGTTGATTCAGTCCTGAGGGGTTAATATCATATGAGGGGTTAATATCATATGACCTATTCATAGTTTAACATCATATTTTGCTATCGTTTGTCTGATTTTTCACACCTGGAAACCAATGTGCACTGCGATAGTTATCACCTATATTTCACACATGAATTTCATATAATTGTAGGCTGTTTTGGAAAGTTGATTTCGACCAGTCATTTGTATGTACCTTGAGTCAAATTGACTGTCATATCGACTGAACCAGAGAATTGATTTTGGTCAGTCTATATTATGTATGTAAGCCATAATAGCTTTGTTAAAATCACATACAAGAGTATGGTATGCATTGCAGAATATTAAAGGTGATATTTTGGTAGAAAAATATAAGTATTTTCTTTACTGTGCCTAACGTACCCACCCCAGTGTCCTGCTGAGCTACCAGTGTCTTATTCCTGCTGTATAGAACAAGGCACTAAAACTACTAAATTTTGTAGCAGAAACTTATGAAATTCAAATCACCTAGTGGATTTCAGGCAGATAAACAGCCACCTCAGGGGTTAAAGCTCAACTCAGTTCAATATAATCCTCTGAGTTTTGCAAGTGACACATGAATGTTCGAAAAATGGAGTAAACTATATAATTTCACAAATGACCAGCATTTCGTGAATAAACCACAAGCGTAGTCACCAGTAGATAATCACTGTCAGAATTAAATAAATACGAAAACCTCGAAGTTTTTTCCACACAAAATTCTCAAAATGAACAACAATGATAGATTTCGGAAGGAAAACAACTACTTTCCTGGCTAATACCACGCAGAACATTGAATTACATCCTCTCGTCCTCCCCTCCAGTCGGGCAAACAGCTACTCCCGTATGGGAATAACGGTTGTGGAGTGATTCTTTCCTCTGTTCTACCCAGATGGCGTTACTTCCATCCTGTCGATGAAAGTCGCCTCGGGGGAATATAATGCCAACTTGATTTTTGTTCGACTAGGCTCCGCTAAGTCGGCGGTATTTGGACTGCTAGCTGGAGACTACACTGCACTGATGAGAGTCAACTCGAAACCAGTCTGTGGTTGTCCAGCGTGCCTGGCTAAATCGAAATCAATAGGCATTCAGGAAAGAATCACTTGTATCAGTATTCGTTTATACGAGTCGATGCATAGATTTCGGGAAGATGTAATTCAATGGTGCAGTAATAATAAAATCTCTTCGAATGTAAACAAATCAATAGCTGTCCAATTTAATACGAAAAATGTAACCATAAACGAAAGCATGTTACTAAAAACAGAAGGGAAATCCCTGGAGAACTCAGCCTGTACAAATTTTTTAGGAGTCTATCTAGATCAAAAACTCACATGGAATGAGCATGTTGATCATACAGCCTCAAAACTGAGTTCATATTGCTTCATTATCAGGAACTTATGGAATACAGTATCGATCGACGTGCTCAAACTAC